AAAAAATTTAAATTACCAAGCATGAAGGAAAAATACCCTTAAAATAAAACACCATAAGAAACATATGAACAAAAATGCATTTCAAATGAATACTATGTGGAAGGAAAGAGAGGGGGGGAAAAAGTATTAACCCAGGTAACTTTTTATTATTATTAAAAAAATTGAGATACAATTCACATACAATATTCACCCTTATAAAGTACACAATTCAGTGGACTTCTGTATATTCACAAAGTTGTGCAACCAACACTACCGTCCAATTCCAGAACACAACTCAATCCAAAAAGAAATGTCACACCCATTAGCAGTCACTCACAATTCCTCCCTCTTCCAGTCCCTACCAGTCATTAATCTACTTCTGCTCTCTATGGATTTACCTATTCTAGACATTCCATATACATGGAATCCTATTCTGCACTGGCTTCTTTCTTAGCACGATGTTTTCAAAGTTCATCCATGTCACAATATTTCATTCCTTTTAATGGCTGAGTAATATTCCACAGCATGTACACACCACTTTTGTTTACCAGGTCATCAGTTCATGGATATCTGGGTTCTTTCCTCTTTTTAGCTATTATGAACATTCATTTTTAAGTATTTTTTAAAATAAGTTTTCAATTCTCTTTGGGCATATACAGCTGTGACTGCAAACAGGGGTCATGAAATTCCCATTATGCCTGTGTTGGTACACTTGATGGTTTCCTACACATTTTTGAGCATCTGTTAATTTTTCATTGTTTTGTTTCTCTGTTCCTCTAACTGGATAATCTCAATTGACCAATCATTATGTTCACTCATTCTTTCTTCTGCCAGATAAAATGTGCTGTTGAACCTGCTGTTGAATTTTTTGTTTCAGTAATGTACTTCCCAATTCTTAAACTTCTTTTTGTTTCTTCTTTAATTTGTCTCATTACTGATATTCTCTATTTGGTGAGACACCTCAGATTTTTATCTTCATTATTAAGATATGGTTTCCTTTGGTTCTTTGACTACATTTAAAATAGCTTATTTAATGTCTTTGTCAAAAAAAATCCAGAGTCTGGGCCTTCTTGGGACAGTTTCTATTGACAGCTTTTTTTCCCGTGTATGGGCTATACTTTATTTTGGTGGATGTCTTATAATATTCTGTTGAAAACTGGGTATTTTAAATAATATAATGCCACAACTCCAGAAATCAATTATTCCCTTCTCCCTAGGGCTTCCTGTTGCTATTTTTTGCTGCTGTTTGTTTAGTGACCTTTTTGAACTATTTTTGTGAACTCTGCATTCTTTGCTGTGTATGGCACTGAAGTCTCTGCTTCATTAGCTCAGTTTTACACTAATAACTGCATAAGGATTTCCTTAATGCCTGGAGTCAATATTTCTCTAAGTTTGCTGAGTCTAAATGTGTGTTGGTCAGGAAGTTGACAATTCCACCTTACCCTTCACTTCCTGCTTATGCAACTCTCCACAAAGTCAGCCAGAAGTGAGGGTTTAGGGCCTTCTCAGCTTTTACCTGAACATGCACATAGCCCCATCATGCATGTGACTTCCTTAATTCCAGGAAACAATTCAAAAGTTATCAAAGTCCTTAGGATACTGAATTTTCCAGGGTTCCTTTTAAGCCATTTGATTAACTTATTTTTCCCAACTGTTACTCCCTGCTTCAGGTAGCTGTAATGTTAAACAATTGCCTCTAAGATCATTTCAAAAACTGATCTCAGGAAAAAGCCTTTTCACATTGGGTAAGCTCTTGTCAAGTTAGATAAAGACAGAATTGCCAGTGTGGTCTTCAAGTGAACTACCAAAATGGTCAAATAATAATTCTTAGCGAATGTGTCTTTGAATAAAGACACCCTGTTCTGGCCCCCACAGTGGCTGCTAGACTGCTGGTTTTCATCATGATTGTGGGCTGTTGATTTTCAAGACACCATAGATCTGGGGTGATAAGATCTGAGTGGGTGATAAGAATAGGGTAAATTAAAGTGTCATAAAGATAACTTCTTATCAAGATTCAAGCATTTAAAATAAATAATACTCCTTGGATTGCTGTAAGCTTGTGGTTAATTCCATAGTTCTGAAAATGCTGATTCTGACAATATGGATAGTCTTCTCACGGCTTTTAATGGAGAAAACGAATTCTTCCATCTCCTTACTCAGCCATTTTTGCTGATATTATCCCAGGTAACTTTCAAACTTGGTTTTGAGATAATATGCTCTTAGGCTAAAGAAAAAAGAACTCTAAATATACATTAAAGTTTGGTTAGTAGGCTTCTGTTTTGCAGAGGTATTCAGTTAGCGATTCTGAAGAAAACATCTATGTATTCTGGGGTTGAGAAAACAAGTAAATATATTATGGAAAATGAGAAACCATCTTCCTTACTATTACAGAAAGAACTTACATGCCAAAAGGACACAGGAAGACAGCTTGAGGGAGCTCCCATTAATCAAATTAAGGATAATTTGAGGATCAAAATAAATAATGAACTTTTATTTCTCACCATTACGGAATAACAGGCACCAGATCTGCTCTTCTATACTAAACAAAAAACTGGACAAAATATATGAAATAAGGTTTCAGACAAGGGACAAAAAGCAGTATAGGATACTAACACCTGAGAGGAAGAACACAAATGAACTGCATGCTACATGTACACCAGTGCACTGTTTGAAGAGCTTCCAAACTATAGTGCAGGGGGGAGAAATTCCAAAATAGCCCAACTGCCTTACTGAAAAGACAGTTCAGAGTTCAGAGAGGTTAATATGACTAGAATTTGTGAGGCAAGATACTGGAGAGGAAGGAAATCCGCAAAAGAAGATAAAGTGCTCTGGAGATCTACATAACGGTCAATGGTATTAGGCTGACCTGAGAAATGTGTATAAAGAGTCTAACAAAGTCATAAGGGAAGAGTCACCAGGAAGGAGTTGGCAGAGCCATCCCAGGAGCCTGTACAGCTCTAGGTATAGTCTGTGTTCTCACCAGACACAAAGGAAAAATCTTCCAACAGACAAAGCATTAGGCAAACTTCTTAGAAAGGTAATGCCTCAGTAGTGGCGCTAAATGAGCCCCAGACCAAGGTTCCTCAACCTGAGGACTGCTGAAATTCTGGGCTTAATAATTCTTTATTCTATATATTGTAGAATATTTAGCAGCATCTCTGGCCTATATCCACTAGATGCAGCACCCTTCTCCCCAGCTGTGACACCCAAAATATCTCTAGACGTTGTACCCTGTGGGAAAAAACTGTCCCAGGTTGAGAATCACTCCAGATAAGATCATTAAAATAGCTAATAATACTCCATATGTTACAGGAAGTAGAGAAAAACACGGACATGCTACAAAGACAAATGGAATATCACAGCAAAATCAATAACAGTGTATTGTAGGATTATTTGTAGAAGCAAAACGTATGTAAACAATAATACAAAGGCTCAGGGGAAGAAAACTGAAGCATACTGTATTAAGGTACATGAACCACAACACAAGTAAAGTGGTATGAAAACTACTTGAGGTTAGGCTGTGATAAGTCAAAGATGTATATTATAAACCTTAGAAGGCAATAACAAATAAAGCAATAAAAAATACCCAATTAATAGAAAATAAACAGAAAAACAGAATAAAAGAGGTACCCATGAGATAATGTGGAAATATATTTAAAAACTCAATAAAGAGGAGAGAATGGAAACTTCCTTATTCTAAAATGTCATCTAATAAATGTAGAAACAAGATGAAATTAAAAAAAAAAACTATCATTTACTATAGCAATAATTGTTTCATGTAAGAATTATGAATTAATGTTAAAACTAGTGCATGAAAGTTTCAGGACAGAATTACACACAGTACCAAAGATACCACTTGAAACAAGTAAGCCAAGTTAATATTACCAGTAATGGGCCATATCAATATTATTACCTGCTTCCTGATATGATATACTAGGACAAATACAACATCCCTTCTGTAACATTACTGCCAGAAGTGCATAATTTGAATTTAATAGTGGGAATATTAGACAAAACCAAATAAAGAAACAATGTAAAATAAATCGATTTGTACTACTGAAAAATGTCACTGTCACAAAATCCTAAGACTGAGAAACTGTTCCCAACCAAAGAAACATGACAGGTGAATTTAAGGTGACAAATGGATATAAGGCATGATGCTTCATCTTCTGTGGCTATAAAAAGGCACTGGGGCAACTGGCAAAAATTGGGTATTTGGTAACTGGATTGTGGTAATACAAGAGACTAGAGAATGACTGTATTTTTAAAGAAAGGATATAAAGGTGGGCAAGAAGAAGAAAGAAATGAGAAAAGGGGGAGAGGAAGAGAGCAGATGAAGGGGGAGAGAGGGAGAGACTGAATGAGGGAGAATGAGAAAAAGAAGGAAGAGAAAGGGGAAAAGGAAGAGAAGAAGGAAGAGAGGAGGAGAGGGAAGATGAGACCCAAGGATAAAGTAAATACAGTAAAACATTAGTATCTGGGGAATTTGGGTGAAGGATATTGTGCAGTAAAGAACTTGGTCGTGCCCAAAGAGAGAAACTGCCTTTGCCTTCAGCTTCATGGAGGTACTCTTCTGACAGGAGTGTCTCTGTTTAGGGCAGGAGGTGGCTGCATTAAAAAAGGCCAACCATGTCATTTAGGAATGGGGGCTTCAGGTCATATAGTATCAGTCCATTTCCAACAATCATGTGGGCAATCAACTGATCATGCCTACACACAGATGCCACAATAAAATTCTGGACACCAAAACCTGAACAAGCTTCTGAGAATGACAATACTTTGTGCATACTGATGCCAGGATGGCAATGCAATCTGAGGACAACAGAAACTTTGCATTCAGAATGCTCAGACTTTGCCCTTACGCATCTCTTCCTTTGGCTGATTATAATTTATAACCTTTCTCTGTAATAAACTAAAACTAGGAATATTTATAATAGGCTTCAGTGAGTTCTGGGGGGTTTTTCAAGCGAATTTTTGAACCTGAGGGTATGTGGGGAACCCTCCCCCCACAACCTCCGAACCTGCAGTTGGTGTCAGAAGTAAGAGCAGAGTCTTGTGTGGGCTCTTTCCTCTAACTTTGTAGCTGAAACCTAACTCCTTGAAGTTGGGTTAAGAAGTCTTGGGCAGACTTGGCAGTCTGGAGGACAGTGTTCTCAACCTTGCAGTTTGGCTAAACCTGGGTAGGGACAAAGACATTATTTTTTAGCTTTTCCTGGAATAATTTTTCATAATTAAAATTTCAATTGAAATCATTTTCAATTTGACATACTTGGAATTACATAAAATAAAAAATAAAAGAAAAATTTTGCATTCAATACAACAAAAATAATTTTCTTTCTGCAAAACCTCTTGGAATCTATTGCTCTAGTTATCTAAATTCCTAAGCTGTGGAAAAAGATAAAAATGACTTTTCAGAGTTTCTGAATTCCTGCTAACCAGAATGCTTTTCCTGCCATTAACAGTATCAATGCACAGAAAACCTAGAATTTAGTTAGCATTACCTAGTTAACTAAGAACCTCTAATTTCTCCCAGAGTAGCAAAAAGTAAAACATTTGAAGGAATTTAAAAAATGCTGTTTTAAAATAACAGTACTATGAAGAATAAGGTAGTCCCTTCTTCAGTAAGTCATCTCATAACCTCTGCTCAACTATAAGGGGAAATGCTCTTTCAATCATATTTCCCTCAGAATTAGTTCTTATAAATTTCAACTATGATTCCTCAAAAAATGTTTCTATAAGAACAAATGGCCAAATAACTAACTACATGTTGTGTTACTACACTGGAATGTGAATGTTGCCCAAATAACTGAAACTTCATTCAGAAATCTAAAAATTTCCTGGGAAACTATCTTAGAAAAGTCAAAATGCACAAAATCACAAATAATTAAAACTATAGTAAAAATTAATATCTACTTGTATAATTTATTATCTGTATACCCATAATAAAAGTTACTATCTTAGTTTTGCTAACAAAGTAAGTTACTATTTTAGTTTTGCTAACAAGAATAACTTTTAGCAAATATGATCTATTTTAAATAGCTACAATTTTCTCATATTGTTCTATTATTTTAAATACACCTCAACATTTATTTTCAGGGTAAAGAAACAAAGAGCTAAACCAGTGAAATACATCATGATAAAACATAAATAAGAAAATCTGAAATAGCTATTATCTCAAAATTCTTTTATAGAGGGAACAGTCTGGACATATTAAAAATTAACTTAACTATGTACTTGATTTGTGACAGTTTAAATATAACCTGAATATACTTAGAAAAGAAAAATAAAGACAAAACCAAATTTATTTCTGTAAGCTGTTCAAAGAGACTTAATCCAATACAAATTTAAATAATGGGCTGGCTTAAAAAAGAAAAACAATTTTTATATAAAACAGTTCACACAAAGGTAGGTACTAATCAATCATCAAAGGTGATTTTCTTCCCCTGAAACACAGCAATTTTAGATTGCTGTTCTTTTCGCCTCCGGCTTGCTTCCCATGAAGGATGAAGAGGCAGTTGTGATTTCTGTTTTGTATTTTCAAATCCTCTTTGTGTACTCTTATTAAATTGATTCTTGATCTGAGGTTCAATTTGCTGAAAACCTGGAGAAAGCAAAGTTAATGAAAACTAAGTTTTTACCTAAATAGCATACAAGAGAAATACATTTTATCTTATCAAATCAGTATCCAAGGAAGAAATTTAGTTTTACTTAAGTGGAATACCTCATAATATAAAATCTAAGTCCAATAGGGAACAGTTTGAGGTTGAAATACACTTATAAGCAGTAAATTTGTGGGTACATGCTTTCAAATCTTATAAATAATGTTTATTGAGTGCCTCCTAGTATATGCTGTTCTGTCTTATTTACACTGATATTAAGAAAGGAAACATAGTCCAGACAACATGTAAGGAAAAAAAAAAGAGGGGGCATCTTGTATTTCTAAAGAAATATGATTCATTAGCTTATGATATCTGTGTGTAGAGCAATGTAGCCAGAAAACTCACATGTTTTAACTAAAATACTGAATCCAACAATGCTGATGGGCGAGATTTTTAAAGGGCTGTTAATTGATTCCACTCTCTTCGGTTATTAAATAGAAAGTTGTGATTATAAGGTAAATTGCCATATCTACTCAAATTTAAGACCAACTTGTTTTTAACCATAGTTATCCACCAGATATGAGGGTGGCAACCTGTATTCTATTCATTACAACCTCTTATATTACGAGGAATTCTAATATTATTTTGAACAAAGTACTGGGAGACATACTGGAGACAAAAGATTGAATCGAAGCATATTTATAGAATTAGAAAGAAAAAGAGAGGCAAAAATTTTAATAAAGATTAATTAATCAGTCCTAGTGGTGTGTCATTTCTCCACTGTAAGTTAATCATCATTATCAGAAGTCTTTTAAGGATATTAAAAAGCAAATGTCCAATGTTATACAATCAAGTAAACAGTTTGGAATAACACTTCCAAAACAATCCTGTACACAGATTCAAAATGTTTCATATCTAGTACAAATCACATGTGCTCTAGAAATCTTATAATACAGAGTGGCTTTCGTGATTAAGAGTGAAGAATATAAATGTTAAATGAAACTGTTTCATGTATAGTGAGATTCAAATAAGGTAATATTTCTAAACTGATACATATTTTACATAATTATCTAAAGTATATTTGCATGTGCAAATGAATGGATAAGTTAAATATTATAAATATATAAGCTAAGTAAAAACAAAAACTAGTTTCACTTGGGTCTCCTCACTGGGAAATTGTGGGAGTGTCTTAAGTTCACAATTGTCCTATGTTTGTAAATATAAGGCTATATATTTGCCAAAGCTAGTATTTTAATACTAATAACATAAAAATAACATAAAATTAAAATAACATAAAATAAAATTAAATTAAATTAACATAAAAATTTGCCATGGGCTGTGTAGTTCAGCAGTAGGTAGTAAGGAAATGGATATCTGAGGTTGAAAAGGGAGCACCCTATGTGTTAAAGAAAAGGTAAAACTGCTGCCAGTGGAAACTTTGGAATTAGGTTACAGGCTTAGGGAATCGCAGCACCAGGGCAAATGGCTGTAAAGAATAAAAAGATTAGTGTACTGATGGCTTTTTGGCAATGTATTACAAAAAGAGTGTTCAGGAAAGAACTGGCCAGCTCACAGGCAGAAATGAAAGAGAAGAGAGGGTCCAGATATTTGGGAACTTAAGTTTTAGAAAAGCCTTTGGACTCCAAACAGTAAGTGATAAGACTGAGAAAGATTTTAAGCCCATACAAATTTAGCCCTGGAGTAGAGATAAAAGTATGGCCTTCTCAACAAAACCTGAAAGTCTCAATGCAACAGACACCGAATGATGGGGGGAGATGGGGGGGGTGGGCAAGTGAAAAAACCCCGAAAACAACAACAACAAAAACAAACCACAAACATAAATAAGGCAAGATTGAAAACTAGCTCTAGGAAAGAATTTTTGGTGTGGTGACTAGCTCACTGATGGACTGATTAGAAACAAAGAAGTCAGAAATCCAGTATGTTTTTGAGGGAACTGTATTGTGAAAAGAAGCACAAGCTTGGGCCAGAAAAAATCTGACTTAAGATTTAAAAATCATCTTCAGGATCAGTATTTTTACTAATCATGTGGGGCAATTCCCAGATTATACTAAACATCCACTGCACGTGTGTCATGGAACAAAGACCCTCCCAAGAACACAGAGACTATGGAGGACAGAGGATAGGAAAGTTCCTCACAGATCCTTCATAATTTTTGCTCAGGTAAGAGATGTGTTGCACACTTCCCATGTTTCCCTGCACAGATTCAGAGTCTTTATTGTATTTACCTGGTCCCTGCTCTGCTGCTAAATATTTGGTCTGAGTTGGGGGCAGGCAGTTTGTCGTTTTAGTGCACAGGTCACGAAATTTTGAGCACTCACGTCCATAAGATTTGATGGAAAATACTGCATTACCCCTCAGTGATTCTCAGCTTTGAACTGGATATAGTGACTGGATGGGACTTTGGGTTGACCTCCACAGGAAGGAAGTATACTCTATGTGTGGAGGAAAAGTGAAATTAACATCTGGTGATCAAAAGGATGGTCAGTGACGGACAGTTATGTCTTCAAGAAATTCCACTTCCTTCTTCCACCCAGCCACGTAGTTAGACCACATTTCTTAGCTCCCTTGTGGCTAGATGGGGTCATGTAACTGAATTCTAACTAATGAAATGTGAGCGGAACTGATTCCTGACACTTTTAGGCCTAGCCCATGAAAACCTCGTATTCTCCATGTACTCTATTCCCTTCTGTTAGCCGAAAGGAGAATACTGGGGAATAGACGAAGGAGCCAAAAGATGGAAGGAGTCTGATCCTTGAATGACTATGAGAAACACAGTCCCTCTGCTGATTTATAGCAGACTATAATGTGAGAAATAAATTCTTATTATTTTAAATCGGTGGGAGTTTAGGATTACGTACAGAAGTCAGCCTAGCCAAATATGTTAAACTTGATTTGTTATGAATTAATCTGAAAATGCTTTAGTTTTACTCTTAATCTTGCAAGTAACATATTTGTGCTCTATTTCCCTTTCTGTGGATACTTAAGTCATTCAGGCTATTAAGCAACAATAATTTTTCATCTTGCCACTTTGGTAAAGCATTGCTCAAATGCATATGGAAATCAGGCAGCCATTAATACATACCTGGAGTTTTGCTTTTTGGAACCTGTTCTCTGTAATTTGTAAAAGATGAAAAACACGATTAGGACATTTAAAAGATAAACAACTCATCTGACTTTAAGAAGATAACATAATAAAAATGTTGATAAAACTCATTCAAAAAAACTATCATACCCCTTTATCCCCCCAGACACCAACAAAAAAAAAAAAAATGAAAACCCTGAGTTTTAGCTACATCAAAAGTTTGTTAGACCCCAATAGTACCAAAGAAACATGTAGCAGTTTTCCTCTGACCACCCTCATAGAGACTTGTGGCTATAAAATATCCTATCTTGGTTACCTTGTACTCTTGAGGTCTATCCAGACAAAGAATTTCAGCGGGAATGAGTCACATGTAACAAAAATTATGATTTACACTTGTGGGAGAGGGCAGGGATAGTGGTGCATCATTCTCAGGTGAGGAAAAAATGTAGCTTTCTGAGGTAGAGCTGGGAGATATAGGGAATAATTTAGTAATTTTCAAGGCTTCAAAAATGGTTTGTGTTTTTTCCATACCCTTACTTTGGAAAATTTCAAAATCACATTTTTCTATTTTTAAAAATTATTCCTGACCCATAAATAATAGAAAAACAGTTTACTGAAGAAAATTGCTAACCATGATTTTTATTCTAAAATGTAAAGATATCCCCTACCAGATTAGAATTACAAATGAAATTAAACTTATTGATTTATAACAAAACAGCTGTAAAAAGTGGTGGTTAACAGCAGGGATGACGACAACATCACTAAACATAAAGCAGTCTGGAGGAACTCGGTGTTAGGGCAAGTAGCCTTATATACTGAAACAGGAATACATAATAAAATAATTGAGGTTTACAATAATGCCCTGGGTCATCAAGAGAAAAACAAAAATCCCACCATATTCTTTTCAGAAAGCTCTGTTTAAAAAGAGATATTATGTGAGACATTTTCAAAAGTTTTCATTAAAACTGAACTCAAAGTTTCAAAACTCTGACAATTGAAGGAAGAAACTTAAATTAGCTAGATAAATTATTTCGCTCTATCATCTCATTTTCTGATGAGGTTGGAAAAATGTAGCATTATCATACGTGTATTTGTACCTTGGAGAAGGCCAAGTCCAAACACAAGATGTATTGTATAAACCAGAATTATGTATGAGAGACAGTATCTCAAGTCCAGGGATGTGTAGATATTTCATATCTTTTAAAAAAATTAAGAACTAATAATTATTTCAGGATGAAAACATATTCTTACCTTCCAGAGCTTTTAGATCCAGATAAAGAATGGAAAAACACTGACTCAAACTTCCTTGCTTCTGTATGTGGCTTGTTTTTGTCATTTCTTATATCCTGATGGGTTTTAAGCACATCTTCTTCAGGTAAATATTTTGGGGGGACTCTTTGTTCCTTAACTGAAAAATGACAACTACTTTCCTTCTTCCGTGTCCGTTTGACTTTCCCAATGAAGAAGTCATCACCACTATCACTATCCTCAGACATGGAAGATTGTCTATAAAACCTTTCTTCTGTGCTATCATCAAAATACTCCTTCTCTTCTTCATGTAATTCTTCTCCATCACTGTTACTACTAAGTGAGCTATTGGACTCTTTCTTTTTTATTTGACTTGATGTTTTTATTTTGGGGTCAGCAGGTATCTTCTGGGGTTCAGAAGGAACTGCAGAATCCTTTTCAGAAGGCTTTGATGGAGAATTTGGAATGTCCACTGCTTTGGGTCCATGTTCCATCTTGGCTATTTTTCCTTTTGAATTATTTATTGGTTTCTTTGCCAATATTTTGGCTTCTTTCTCTTCTTGCTCACTGATAATAGTTCCTTCATGCTGTAACTTCCTGGCATCATTTGAACACAAAGTGTCCTTGGAATGATTTTCTTCTGAAGCATTCTTTGATGACTTAACTTCAGCAACATTTTGTCTTGCATCTTTAAAGGCTTTGACAGCAGCTACAAGAGAAACAGCACATGACTTGCTTCAGCATTGAAACAAATAATAAAACACCACTATTTCAATACAGTATTTTTTAAATTATTTGGCAACACTTAAGAGAATAACTGGAATTTATATTAACTTAATATAATGGGTATGAATTCACAAACAAATCTATTGACTTTTTAAAAACCAAACTTACAAAAAATGCTCAGAGGTATCCATTTTAAATTTCTAAAATTAAAAGAAAATTCATCCCCTCACATACTGGTATTGTGAAGACCAGTAAAAACCTCATTGAATATAAATGAATAAAATGGCAACTTTAATTTTTGTAGTAATAATGTATTAATACAATTGTAGTGTGTTATAAATTGTGCTTTCAGACATAAAAATAAAAATCTACTCTGACAAAAGCACTTAAATTTTTTCAACACACTTTATAATGCACACATAAATGAAAATTATGTGACTAAGTGGCAAAATCAAAAGTAATAATATGAACTACACTAATCTTTAGAAAATAAACTCTGTTCAATATTATCATGAATATATATATTTTAGAAATTTAGAAAAAATAGAGATTTAGATTTTTACTCAGATGTCAGATATTGTCCATATTTTCAGGCATTTCCCACATTTGGAAATATTTAAAAGACACATTTATAATATAAAAAATCTTCAAAAGGAAGAAGAATCAATAAAATAAATAAATGAATGGCCATGTATTCAGATCACATACAGTACATGGCTTAAAGTCATTTAATTCATACCTTTTAGCACATCTACTTTTTTCTTCAGAAGAGGGTGCACTGCTAGTCTGGCAATTGCTCTTTCAGTTGCAGTAGAATCAGGCTGCAAATTGAAATAATAAACACATGGGAATAAAAACTACGTAGCACTACTAAGAAGTGAATAAAATACAATCCATTATAATTATTAAAAGTTAAGAGTTAGGAACAGGAATTTGTTAATATTCTAATTTGATAACTCACCTGTATAATCTATGCTAAAGAAAACACACTGACAAAAATACTACTGCTCTCAAACAATTAAAATTATCATGCAATCAATTAATAAATATTCTTTGAGTACTTAGTATCTTTCCAGAACTGTGGTAGGCATCATGTGTGATATTAGAAAAAAATGTAATATAGCTCCTGCATTCAAAGAGTTTTAAAAGATCTAGTTAAGAAGATTAAATTAACATGAAAAAAAGTAACATATTAGTACTAAGCTGCATGATACAATTTATGACTACTGTAACGCTTGAAGTTCCATTTACTAGAGACCTAGAAATTATCAAATGCTACATATTTTTATTCTGAATGACTAGTACCACTACTGTATTCTCAGAACCTTCCACCAGTGCCTGGTTTACAGCTAACAGTTTATAGATAACTGACAATGAATGAATGGAACCATATATACATATACAAATACACAGTATTTAGAAACTCAGAAAATTCTTTATTCAGACTAATTGCTTTAAGTATCATCTGTAGGCTGAAAACTTCCAAATTTCTACCTCTAGCTTTAACTTGAATTCTGGACTTACATACCCAACCTGACATGTTAAAAGAGAATTTTTTGATTTTCTTCTCAAATCTACTGCTATAGTCTTTCCCATCTTACTGTATGTAACTTTACTTTTTCTGGTTGCTCAGGCCTAAACCTTGATCACGTTTCTCCTTCCTTACTGTATTGGTTGCAATCACTTTTGAACCTTATAAAATAAACTAGCAAGGGCTTTATTTTAAACATAGATCATTTGCAATTCTTTGAATTGAATGGATATATTTTAGCACTTTGCAGTGGATGATGTCAGATTAAATTTAAATTGATATCCTCTCAATGTTTATCTCTGATGCAAGTGCAGAATTTCAGCAAATTCTGTGGTTTCATCTGCAAAATATATTCAGAACCAGTCACATCACCACTTCTACTTACTATCTTTGACCAAATCACTAATACTTACCTGGACCAGGTCATAATAAGAATAAGCTCACATCTGGTCATTCTCCATGGCATCTTGCTCCCCAACAGCCTATTTTCCATATAGTAGTCACAGTGAGCTTTTGGAACGTAACCAGATCATGCTATGTCCCCATCTATTCTGTTTGGAGGATTTATCTAGGTAATGTCATTAAGAGAACAATTCCTTAAATTATACCTGGTGCAAATCCTGTGCCAGGATCGCCTGCTGTCTAATTACCTTCTGTATGGGTCAAATAGTATCCTCTCAAAATTCTATATCCAACTGGAAATTGAGAATGTGACTCTATTTGGAAACAAGGTCTCTGCTGCTATAACTAATTAAGAGGAACATAGTTTAGAGTGGGTCCTAAAATCTAATGTGACTGGTGTCCTTATAAAGGAATACATTTAGATACAGAGGCACAGGGAGACAGAAAGGGAACAAAGCCGAGGCAAAGGTTGGAGTTGTCCTTCCACAAGCCAAGGAAGGCCTAGGGCTAACAGAAATTGGAAAAAGCAAAGAAGGGTTTTTCCCTAGAAACTTTCAAGGAAGTGTAGCCCTACTGATGCCTTGATTTCAGATTTCTTATGTTTCAGGAGAAACATAAGAAAACAAACTTCTGTGGTTATATACCATCTAGTTTGTGGTACTATGTTACAGTAGTCTGAGGGAAACTAAAAAAACAGCTCGATTCTGATTCCTAGACATTGTCTCTGTTTAACCTTCTCCAAGAAATATAGTCCATTTGGAGACTATTCATTAAGTATAGTGTTAAGCCATTCCTCTGCTTCTTTAACTCCTTGCTGGATTTCCTGAAGCAATACAGGACTTCTTACTCAACTTTTATTCAATGTGGTACTATAAGTCCTAGCCAGAAAAATTAGCCAAGAAAAAGAAATAAAACGCATCCAAATTGGAAAGGAAGAAGTTACAATGGTCTCTGAATACAGATGACAGATCTTATACACAGAAAACCCTAAGTACTCTACCGGAAAATTGTTAGAAATAATAAAAAACAAATTCAGTAAAGCTACAGGATACAAAACCAACATACACAAATCAGCTGCATTTCTACACAATAACAACAATATATCTGAAAGAGGAATAAAGAAAACAATCCTATTTACTTAGGAATAAATTTAAACAAGGAGGTGAATGATCTGTACACTGAAAACTGTAAGACTTTGATTAAAGAAATTGAGGAAGACAAAAATAAATGTAAAGATATCCCATGTTCAGGGACTGGAAGAATTAATATTGTTAAAATGTCTCTACTACCGAAAGCCATCTATCAAAATTCCTCTGAAGTGCCTGTTGAGGGATGAATGAATAAAGAAGGAAATCCTTCCATTTGTGACAACATCAATGAATATGGAAGGCACTATGCTAAGTGAAATAAGTCAGACAGAGAAGACAAATATTGCATAGTATCACTTATATGTGCAATATACAAAAAGCCAAACTCATAGAAGCAGAGAGAAGAATTGCGGTTGACAGTGACTAGGAGATGTTGGTCAAAGACAGAACTGTTAGTTATGTAAGTAAGTGCTGGGGATGTAATACTCAGCATGGTGACTATAGATAACAATATTTTTTATATACCTGAAAGTTGCTAAGAGAGTCAATCTTAAATGTCCTCATCACACGCAAAAAGCAAAACAAAACAAAACAAAACCCTGTAATTATGTAAGGTGACAGATGTATTAACTAACTTTATTGTGGTAATCATTTCACAGTACATATGTATATATGTATATCAAACTTGTACATTTTAAACTTATACAAGTTATGTGTCAATTATACCTTATTAAAGCTAGAAACAAAAACATTTTTACCAGAATATTTAAACTTAATATATCAGCATCTTTAGAATAAAAGAAACAAAAAGAAAAAGAAATGACTTCTCAAGTTCTTACTCATTTAGCTGAAATCTATTTAACAAAAATGTTGTCTTATAGGTATGTGCTGTACCTACTTTGTACCACAACGGTATTGATGTATGAACATCATGAACAGATGGTGTCTGAACATCTCAATTTGTCTTTGCTACTTCTAATTTTTATAAACTGGAATTCTGATAAAGTTGGCTATACAACACCACTGCGAAACATCTTAGGGAACAAACTAACCTTGTTATAATGAAATACGAGAAGTGTCAGAGTTGCTTAAGAATATTTTTTAAAAATCAAAAAATAATACAATGCAGAAATACCATAAAAACCTTGCTGGTTGTGTGAGAGTGTTCAAAATTATTTTTTTTTTCCTCTGGCAAAACAAAACTAAACACTGAGAGGACAGCCCTGTCATTTTCATATCTGATGCAATAAAAATTTTAAAGGGAGACTAAAATGCACTACCAGAATGTTTGACCTGGAAAAGCTCCTTATTAGAGGAATGAGAAAAGACAAACGCCAGAGATGGCAAGTGACATGCCTGAAGTCACGCAGCAAGAGGCAGGCAGTGATAACGCAGAATGCAGAAATGCCTAAAAATTTAAGCCTCTTTCCTTTGTAAACAGGAAATCTTCACAAATAGTATGGTAGACAAATTATAAATTATACACATCTTCTTTGGGTT